CTGACATCAAACGTGCTGCCATTTGGTTCTTCTCAGTGCCTTTGCCACACATAGAGGCTCTACCCCTGTCAGCTCTCTCGGTTCCTGTGTGCTTGTCTGCTTGTCAGGGTTGCTTTCTTTTGGCAGATCCCTTTCCCGAAAGACTGTTCGGAATGAGCTTTGCCGAGCACACCTTGCACACCAGACTGGCCTAGCTTAGTTGGTAGAACAGATGGCCCTTAACCTAAAAGTCGAAGCTTCAACCCCGCCTCGGGTCATGTGTCCTTATCTGCCGCTGGAAACCTTTTCCAGCCATGAGCGGCCGAGATCCTCCAAAAAGGGGGCCGCCACCACAGCAGTTCAGACCTTCACCTTTTTCCAGGTGCTGGACCCCTTTTCCAGCCGCGAGCGGCCGAGATCCTCCAAAAAGGGGCGCTGCAACTTGACATCCATGTAGCTTCCATTTCGGCTTCAACTTGCTTTTTTCTTTGGCACAGGGAAAGTGCATGGCTTCTCTGCAAGAGGATCCCGCTGAAGATAGTTTATGCTTGGCCTGCTTCTATTGCGCCACTACAGTGCAAGGCCTTGAACTTGACCTCCGCTTCTGTGATGGGAAAAACTGAACTGCTACTATTGCTGCACGGCTTCTCCTTATCTACCGCTGGAACCCTTTTCCAGCCATGAGCGGCCGAGATCCTCCAAACAGGGGGCCGCAGCCACATCAGTTCAGACCTTGACCTTTTTTCCAGCTGCTGGATTTGTTTTCGAGCCGTGAGCGGCCGAGATCCTCCAAAAAGGGGCGCTGCAACTTGGCCTCAATGTAGCTTCCATTTCGGCTTCAACTTGCTTTTTTCTGTGGCACAGGGAAAGTGCATTGCTTCTTTGCAAGAGGATCCCGCTGAAGATAGTTTATGCTTGGCCTCCTTCTATTGCGCCACTACAGTGCAAGGGCTTGAACCTTACCTCCGCTTCTCGCTTCTGTATGGGAAACTGGAACTGCTTCTTTGCTGAAACGCCTTCTCCTTATCTACCCGCTGGACCCCTTTTCCAGCCATGAGCGGCCGAGATCCTCCAAAAAAGGGGGCGGCCACATCAGTGTCAGACCTGACCTTTTTCCTTCCACTGCTGGATTTGTTTTCGAGCCGAGCGACCGAGATCCTCCAAAAAGGGGCGCTGGCAGCAACTTGGCCCAATGTAGATTCCATTTTGGCTTCACTTGCTTTTTTTCTTTTCTTTGGCAAGCAGGGAAAGGGCATGGCTTCTTTGCAAGCGGATAATCCCTTGAAGATAGTTTTATGCTTGCCTGCTTCTATTGGCGCCACTACAGTTCAAGGCCTTGAACCTTACCTCCTCTTCTGGATGGGAACTGGGACTGCTTTCTTCTATTTTGCTGGGGAACGGCTTCTCCTTATCTACCGCTGGACCCCTTTTCCAGCCATGAGCGGCCGAGATCCTCCAAAAAGGGGGCCGCCACATCAGTTCAGATCTTGACCTTTTTCCAGGTGCTGGATTCCTTTTCCAGCCGAGCGGCCGAGATCCTCCAAAAAGGGGCGCTGCAACTTGTCATCAATGTAGCTTCCATTTCGGCTTCAACTTGCTTTTTTCTTTGGCACAGGGAAAGTGCATGGCTTCTCTGGAAGAGGATCCCGCTGAAGATAGTTTATGCTTGGCCTGCTTCTATTGCGCCACTACAGTGCAAGGCCTTGAACCTTACCTCCGCTTCTGTGATGGGAAACTGGACTGCTTCTATTGCTGAACGGCTTCTCCTTATCTACCGTAGGAATCCTTTTCCAGCCATGAGCGGCCGAGATCCTCCAAAAAGGGGGCTGCCGCCACATCAGTTCAGATCTGTACCTTTTCCCAGGCACTGGACCCCTTATTGCGCCCTGAGCGGCCGAGATCCTCCAAAAAGGGGCGCTGCAACCGAGAGAGCTGACAGGGGTAGAGCCTCTATGTGTGGCAAAGGCACTGAGAAGAACCAAATGGCAGCACGTTTGGGTGTCAGATTGCGGCGCCCCTTTTTGGAGGATCTCGGCCGCTCAGGGCGCAATAAGGGGTCCAGCACCTGGAAAAAGGTGAAGGTCTGAACTGATGTGGCGGCAGCCCCCTTTTTGGAGGATCTCGGCCGCTCAGGGCTGGAAAAGGGGTCCAGCACTGCCAGAACTAAACGGTATGTGTTGTTGTTGTTGTTGGGGGGGGGGCCCCCCTAAATAACAACGACGGGGTCCCAGTGTTTGTTTGTACCCTTAAGGGTAGAAACAAAAAGGGAGATATAGAGAGAACGGGGTCCCAGTGTTTGTTTGTACCTTGTTCTTGTTGTTGTTGTTGGTTGTTGGTTGTTGGTTGTTGGTTGTTGGTTGTTGGTTGTTGGTTGCGGTTGTTGTTGGTTGTTGTTGTTGTTGTTGTTGTTGTTGTTGTTGTTGTTGTTGTTGTTGTTGTTGTTGTTGTTGTTGTTGTTGCTGTTGTCGCGGGGGATAGGACAAGAGGGGTGTGGAGGACGGGGGCCGGGACTTCGGGCGTCCCGGCAGCATCCTTCGGTGGAAGGGGGCTGACAGCCCGGGTGTACCGTAGGTGCACCGAAGTCGGGAGAGCCGTCTGAAACAGGAAGAGCCGCTGTTGGAGGAAGGTCTTTTGTGGCCTCGCATCGCGAGGAAGAAAGTCGTGCACAAGCTCAGGGAGTTCGCAAGCATTGTGGGGTGGGAGTTGAAAAGCGTGAGACACACAATGCGGTGTGCAAACCGGAGCCGCATGTCGGTGATGTCAAACCGGACCCTGTGCCCCCACGTTTCTGATGGGTAGCCAGAAGGCTGCAAACCGGTAATTTGTGGCCAGAAATGCGTCAGTACATCATGCAAGAGTTTTGCAGCGCGGAGGTGCGCACGGACATGTATGAAGTGATTGCCGTTTTGGAAAAGCCACGCAGGTTGGAGTCCATTCACCATGGCTCGGTTCGAGAATTGTAAGCACTCACACAAGCCTTTGAACTGCACTGCCTCATGTGGAGCGTTTTGCAGCCACAGATTGCAGAATCCACCACAATCCCAAGCCAGTTCAGAACATTCCCTTGCATAGTCCTTGGAGCGCAGAGCAGCGCTCAGCGCTGGTAGCGGCCGTGGTTTGCTGGCGGCCTGGCATGTTTGTGGTGAGCCAGCATGTTTGGAGCCCGCAATGGCTCGTTTCTCCGACATGTTTGCGATGAGTAACGGCTCGCTTAAGAGAGACTGGAGGGAACTGACTGCCAGAGGACAGAACTGACGCGACTGCAGCAGCACCGCATGAGGATGACCGCTGAAAACTGATCGCGTGACTGCTGAAACATGGTGACAGGTGCTCTGGGGGCGACTCCGGCAAGTTTGTGGGTGGCCCGGCTAGTTTGTCGCAGCTCGCTTAGAAGAGACAGGAGGGAACTGACTGCAAGAGTACAGACCTGGCGCGACTGCAACAGCACTGCGGTAGCATGACTGCTAAAAACTGATCGCATGAGTGCGGCAACATGGTGACAGGTGCCTTGGAGCGACTCCGGCAAGTTTGTGGGTGGCCTGGCTTGTTTGTTTCCGCTCGCTAGCGAGCGATCGGAGGAGACGGACTGCAAGAGTACGGAATGGACATAGTTATATATATATATATTTTTTTTTTACATAGAGATATAGCAGCAAATATATATTTATATATGTATATATATATATGCATATACATATATATATAGAGTTTGTTTCCGCTCGCTTACGAGAGATCGGAGGAGACGGACTGCAAGAGTACGGAATGGATACAGTTATATATATATATATCTATCTATATTTTTACATAGAGATATATCAGCAAATATATATATATATATATGCATATATATATATTTTGATATATATATATATAGATAGATAGGTATATATATATAGATAGATATATCTCGACATATTTTGTTTGTTTTTGCTTGGAACTGAAGAAGCTGCAACAAACACCCCAGCAAGTTCTTCTAAAACACAGCGAGGGCTAAACTTTGAACAGGGGATTGCAGACAGCGCCACTGATAAGCTAAGTAAGGCACGCAGTCTCTGTTTGCCAGTAGGTACTGCCCAAAATCTTCTTTTCTCAGGCTGCAGAGCGGTCTGGCAGAGTTGGGGTCAGCCAGCCTGTTTGGAGCCCGCAAGTGTTCGTGTCGCCAACATGTTTGCAATGAGCAACGGCTCGCTTAAGAGAGACTGGAGGGAACTGACTGCCAAAGCAAAGACCCGACACGACTGCAGCAGTACTGCATTAGGATGACTGCTGAAAACTGATGGCATGAGTGCGGCAACATGGTGACAGGTGCCTTGGGGCGACGCCGGCAAGTTTGCAGGTGGCCTGGCTTGTTTGTCTCAGCTCGCTTAAGAGAGATCGGAGGAAACTGACTGCAAGAGTACTGAATGGATACAGTTCTATATATATATATACTTACATAGAGATATATCCACAAATATACATGTATATATATATATATGTATATATATATATAGATATAGATATATATGGACATCTTTGGTTTGTTTTTGTTTGGAACTGAGGAAGCTGCAACAAACTCCGTAGCAAGAGTTTGTAAAAGACAGCGAGGGCTAACCTTTGAACAGGGGATTGTAGACACCGCCACTGATAAACAAAGTAAGGCACGCAGTCTCTCCGCGGCCGTTGCGCCAAGGCTCTAGGCTAAGTAACGAAAGTGGACAGAGAAGTAAACACACACACACATACACACACGCACCCCACGAACCGAAGTGGGAGACGTACGCGTAGGAAATCTAAAACCGGAGCATTGCAGGAAGACAAACCGGAGCACTGCAGAAAGACACAAAGGTAAACACAGAAGAAGTAGCGGGGAAAATGCAACGCACAGAGTAAACCCCGGCAAAGGAGCAGGCACAACTTAAAGAGAAGTGGAACACTTGCAGGTGTTTGTTTACAAGCAACAGTACGAAGATGAAATGAAATGAAGCACGCCACCACCGACAACGAATTCGCAAAGCACGAGTGTCCCAAAGCGGACAGCCATGACACAGTGGGATGCCATAGCCAGTGACATACTGCGTGAGCATGCTACCAAGGTAGCTGTCTGCTGCATAGCACTGATCATGGTGTTCTGGCTTGCCTCCCAAATGAAGAAGTCTTATTGCGTGCGGCGGCAGTCAGTGCCAGCTGCGTGTGGCAAGGGGCCGCGCAACCGATCCAGCAAGCACACACACTGGACACGAAGGTTGCCGGGGAAATATACATCTTTGAGCTGGGGCATGGCAGTCACCGCAGCATGCTTGGGTGCCAGCGCAAAACAAATAGATTTCCTGTTTGCGGTCAATCTCTTCACCTGTGTCTTTGCATGCCAAGCGCAACGTGCTCTAGCCAGTGCACGACTGCGCAGTGGGTGGGTGAGGAAAGCACGTCGGGTGGGCAAAGCTCGGGTGAAAGCAAGGCGGCAACCAGGATCGCCACGAAGTAGACTGCAAATATTGATTGCAGCCATCTTCTTGTTCTCACCAGCCAGTTGGGTATGTGTGGAAGGCGCTAGCCAGGGCAACATCGCAGCAGCGCAACCAGTGAGGAACGCATGGGCAACGTCTCGGAAACTTAGAAACCAGTTGATGCGTGCAATGCATGGCAACACGATGAAGAAAGCGAACCGACGACAAGCAGAAGAGTCCACACCCAGCCAATGCATAGACGCGAGTGCCGGCAGCAATCCCGTCCTTAGCAAGAAAGCCAGAGTTGCAGACGGAGTGGATGCCGCCTCCTCGCTTCGAGCACAACCTAGCAACCCGAGTTTCCAGAAAGAAGTGGAGGAGGATGAGGACCGGAAACTGGCCGTCCGTGTGCAGACCCGAATAGGGTGTGAGCTAATCAGAATCCCTGGTGACGGTTGGTGTTTTTCCATGCAGTCCTTCGCCATTGTCGCGGTTGGCAGTCGTGGTCGATACCCGAAGCTGCAAAGTTATACTTGCAAGCCTTAGAATGGATGTGTAAGCAAAAGAATGGACCCAGAGCAGATGAGGTTGCGATTGCCAGTGTGCCGTTTGATGACCGAGAAGCAGGCCTTCACCTGGGGTTCCTTCAGCAAGCAGAGCAGTTGGAGGCGGCAGAAGGTTTGACAGCTGCCGAAATCGTGCTTTGGAGTAAGGTGGTGGCTGTTTTGGAAAAGCCACGCATGTTAGATTCCATTCACCATGGCTCAGTGGTGGAATTGTGGGCACTCACACAAGCCTTTGACTTTCACTGTCTCATTTGGAGCCAAGAAGATAACAAAAACATTTGGATCCGGGAGATGGCCTACATCACCGATGCAGAAACACAACAGAAGTTGCAAGAACATTCCAATGTCTTAGAACTTTTCCACCGAAACACTGGCATCACCGGGCACTATGACCTCGTCCAACGCGCGGAAGCATTGCGCGAACCATTCCCTGAAACACCATCGTTGGAAACGTGGAGAACAGAGAGTGCAGAAGCAGTGTTGTGTCTTGCTGCAGAAAGCCTCCGAAACCCAGTGGAAGTGTCACCCATGTCGCTGCATAGTCAGTCATCGCACGTTGAAGATCAGAGTGCAGTGTGCGAAAATCATGCCGCAGAGGAAGGAGAGCAGCCAACGGCAGGGTCATCCGGGCAACCGCAGCGGACCAGCCGCACCACTGCGGCGGAATCGGATGCAACAACGTGTCAGCCAAATCGGTCGCAGCAGGTGCATGACACAACTGAAGCCGGCAAAGAGGCAGCCACTGGTGTCTGGGAAGGGCATGACGACGCAGAGGCGTCGGAGGGTGCAGCAACCGACCTGGATTCTGAAAGCGTGCTTTCCTGGGATTCAAACCTATCCGAGACCACAGAAGAGGCAGAAGTCGAAGTCACCGTGGACTCGACAAAGACATGGGTCACTGTCGAAGATCGTGACCAAGAACGCATTCGACGCACAGCATTCCATCTGCGACAACATCCTCTGCTGCCATCTCCAGCCGCGATGACGGAATTCCCCACCATGCAGCCTAATAGTGGTCTCGTATACCCAGCCGTCCATTGTGCTTTTGAGAGATGCGGGTGGGCATCCGACACACAACCGTGCCACCCGCACTGGTCAAAGGAAAAGGTGTGGAACATGAAAGCAACAACATGGGCACACACTACCTTGCAGTGCTGTGGAAACGGGAAGGTGTGTTTGTGGGCACACCTCGATGAGTGTCATGCTGAACACTTTACGAACATACCCCGTGAACTTGTGGCTTCAACATACACAGCTGCAGTGCTAGAAAGGGAACGTGGGCAGGTCCCACAAGTTGGCTGGAGCGTCGATCGGCGCACACTGCGTCGATTACAAGTGGATTTGGACGACAACACTTGCCAAGCATTGATTTGCGCCTGTTGCGCCCGAGTGAGTCCAGGAGGCATGGGAGGGGAGATTGCCTACATATCTGTCAAGCAGTTATTCAATGCACTGACCCCAGAAGCGGTCAAAGCAAACTGGAACTTGGAAAGATACATGACGCAATATGCTACGTTGGCTGCTGTGACCAATCGTTTCGAAGCACACGAGTGGACGCGAACACTGCCAGCAACCAGCTGCAACGGGATGCGACTCATCTGCTGCCCAGAAGATGTCCGCTGCGGACTTTGCGCCGAGAATGCGCTGCAACTGTGTGAGGCTTGTGAACTGCCGTTGTGTCGCAATTGCCTCGAACACATGTGTAAACAGGACGCTGGTGCAGTGCCAGAAGCCCTTGCAAACGACAATTGGTTTGGATACCCAACAGAGTTGTTGTACACCTACAGAGTGCGTTGGATAGAAGCGGCAGCTGCTTCTCCGGTCTGGACTTCCGTCATCAATTACTACCTGGAAGCCGACCGAGGCAACTTGATAGAAGAGCACTTGCAGCGGCCCGAACACAGAACCGCAATCCGAGGCAATGTGTCTTCCTTTAGCATTCCATGGGAAGAGGTGCTCGCCGCATTGGCCCCCGAGACCCGACAGAACAACTCTTGGGAAAGGTTGCCTCACCCGCCACATGTCCTCCAAGCTATTGTCAAAGTCAATGTGAAGGGCATGTTATACAATGAGGCAATCGAGTGGGTAGCAGGAGCACGCATCCGACCCTGGGTCGTCACTGCACTCTTACATCACCTCATCGACATACAACATCCAATGTGTGCGTCGGACTTGTCGGCAGAGGAAGCAAAAACAGCAGTGACGCAACGTGTGACCTGGACCTATGGGGTGGACGAAACAAGGCCGCTAGTCGACTTGAACGAAACTTCTGCACCGACTGGGACATCAAGCGGCGCGCACCCCTGCGCACGACGCCAGAGCAGCGCTCAGGCAGCAGTTAATGTGAAATCAGAAGCAACGAGTGCAAATAACGAGACCGAGGCCCCAACCATGAGCGGCCAGAGCTCGTTTCAGCCAGCGTCTGTGGAGCAACATTTCAAGTCTTCTCTTGCGAAAACTGCATCCCGAAAGATCGTTTCCCACCTGCACTCCGAAGAGACAACCCAAGTGTACAGCAAAACGGCTCCACAGCAGACAAGCCACAGCGATGCGAACGCAACCTTGCACAACATGCTAACCCAGAGCATGTGCCAGATGGTAGCAGAGAGAAAAGATCAGGGCAGCCCTCAGATGACAGCTGAAGGCATAGCAGACTCGACCTCGTCGCAGAAGGAAGAAGTGACAGTGTCAGCACCTAGCCACGGCAAGTTTCCATTTCTACATGTAAAGCCTGAGCGGGATGCCTCGCCGGGCGACGACCCATCATCGCAGGTGACAAGCCAGAGCAGCGCTCAGGCAACCACATCAGACAAAAGCCACGAAAAGACCACATCGGCTCGTCCGAGCCATGCTAATTTTTTTTTTCCTGCCAGTGCAGACGTAAGCCAGCCGCGGCCGCAGAAGCATGCAACACCCGAGTCAGTCGCAGACACAGCTTTGAATGGCGAATCCTTCGTAGCCAGTGTGAGACCCAATGTACTGTCACAAGATTACACGGGTGCAGAGTGGAAAGACCCCGACGTCGACATGTTGCTGCAATTAGGCAATGCGACTGACACACTCACTATTCGAACCGGGCACAACTTCTGGGACCAGTGGCAGAATGACTTTCTCCCCTGGGCTTTTCCCTTCAGCCTCCCCGCACCCGTCAGTGGTCCGGACTTTCCCCACAAAGAGCGACCCCGGAGGCCCGCAGATGCGCCGCACTTGCAACCCTTGGCACACTTGAAACTTCTGGCCGGACGCATTGAGAGTTCAATTCGCAACTCATGGGATCTGATTCCCGGGCTGCGACGATTGACATTCAAATGGCACTCGGTGTGGCACGGCTCCCTGTGGCGGAAATGGAAGTCACAACGGCAAGCCCTTGCACCGGCACCTATGCTCAAGTGGGTCCAAGCGGCTCGTGGCCTCTACAACAAGCTGAGATCCGGCACATATAGCACTGCAGGTGGGAAGCCCAAACCCATACACTTTGACACCCGCAAACTCCCCTATGCCCGCGGCCTCACAGCCGACGAAAAGGAATTGCTCCAGGACGTGAAAGGCATGCAAGGCCATATGCCTGGAACGATTGAAGTACGACGTCGGATTGGACGTTTCCTCTTCGGGGCCAGGGTTGAGATGGGAGAACCCCTCTTCATCACCATATCTCCCACAACCCGTCATAACACCTTGTGCATCAAATTCAGCCGCTATCGTGCCGCAGATCCTGGCGGAGCCGCCGAAGGAGCGCGCGAGCGCCCGAAGCTATGGGAGACGGCAGAGGCGACCATCGACGTGCCGCCATACGACACTCGCAGACAGCTGACTGCGAGGGATCCGTGGGCCGTCGTTCTCAGCTTCCAAACCGTGGTGCGGTGCATCTTCGCCAAACTGCTCGGCATCCGCATGTGTTTTCGTTGCCCAGCATGCGATTGCCGCGATGCACGCGGACACGGGTGTCACGTGACGGGGGGCATCCTTGGCATTGCTAGCGGCCTATGCGGGGCAATCGAATACCAAGCCAATTCCACACCGCATTTCCATTGCAACGTGTACATCGCGTCCATTTGGCAACAATCTTTGAGTGAACTTGCAGCCAAACTGAATGACAGCACCATCACATTCGAGGACGTGCAACAATTCTTGACATGGGCACACTCCGAATCCCATCTTGACCTAGCAAGCCATACGCAACAGCAAGACCACCTTGAAGCAGACTGGGCCCAGAACAACTGCAAAGCAAGCCACGATTTTTTGTGTCAGTGGCCCAAATTCCTTGCTGAGGACACAGCGGCCAGTCCATGGTTGAACGCAGTGGAACCCAAGCAGGCATTGGCCGACGCAAGTCGTTTCATCCACCACTACCGTCGAGCAGCACAGAGCAAGATCAGCCATCAGCAGCTTCACTGGCATCCGTGGAACGTCACGCAGAAGTGTCGGTTGCCAATCGCCGGTTGCAGAAAGAAGGGGGCGCCAAATAAGTGTAAGCACAATTTTCCAAAAGTGCTGAACGACAAGGTTCGAGTAATTTGCAGAGGGAACGCACGAAAATTTGCGCAGAGCACTGCCGGGCGGCGGAATGCATTAGGCATGGTATTAGACAAAAGAGACGATCCTTGGTTGTCAGGCACCATGCATGCATTCGCCCTCATGTTATTTGGCACCTCCCACACCGCCATAAATTTCCGGGTGCCTTTATCGGCGAACACCCACGACACCGACTGCACCCGAGGCTGCTTGGCAAAGAACATGCTCCCAAAACTGCAAAGGGCGATGGCGCAAGCAGCCCGCCGGTCCACCAGATATTTCACCGGCTATTTGCAGAAGCCGCAGCCGCTCGGAAGAAAAGAATTGCAACAAGCGGCCAAGCAATTGCATTTCCTGGAAGAAGCAGCTGCCAAAGAGGACCCTGCAGCACACTACCGCAAAGTTGTGCATAGAGTCTTCGGGGATCTCGAATTTCGTTGCTCAGTGCGCCCAGTCACAGAAGAGTTTATGCTTGCGGGCTTCAGCAACATGACCGATCCCACCTCCGCCGAGTGCATCCGCACTTTCCCCGTAGTCCCGTTTGTCGGAATCGAGTGGGTTGGTATATTAGACCATGTCACAGATATTCGTCATAAAGTGGAACCCCCCAACCCGCACAAGAGTACATTGAAGTCCTCCGAAGTATACGGGTGGCGGGGAACCGACGAGCGAGTGTTTCACTTGTCTCCGTGGGAGTTTATCAAATGGTGGAGTCTAAAAAAATTACAGCCGCCCACCAAAAATGCAACTGAAGACGGACAAGGGCTCAGTGTTTGGGTGAGGAAGGACGGCACCGACAGGAAACCGGTGGATGGCTGGCAATATGGCCGTGATTACATTTGGAAACATCCCTTGCCAAATAGCCGAGCCGTCAACCTTGTCCGACTACCGCAGTGCAATGGATGCAGTCGAGTACAGGAATACTATCTCGAAAGACGGACCGAACCGCTGATTCCATATCCGACAACCTGTCCGTTGCCGAAGCCCGACATGTCCAAGGATGCACAGGCGAGGCTCCTCAATGTCTATCTGAGGCCCTGGACACTTGATCCGAAAAGTGCTACCCCCCATGTCCCGCACATCAGTGCTTTAGACTTAGAGATAAGAAGTAATAGTCTTAACCCGAGTACACGCTTGCGGACGAAGACAGCACCTGGTCCAAGGAGTCACCATTTAGCATGGAGAGCATATATCCAGCAGCACGTTGTGTCTGAACATGCAGCTCGCACTATTCGAAACTTTCTGTCCGCAACGGAGTGTGATCCAGAAGAAGTCGACCTGGCCGAAACACCAGCCCAGCCAACAGACCATGAAGTGGATACGACCTGGGTAACTTCTGACACCATCAATAAACTTGTCCGAGGTGTGGGCTTCGAATATTCGAAACGGTCAGGTCCAGCGGTACGCCGCATAGTTGAGGAATGGGAAGCTACTCCGCAGGTTGATGCAATAAACTCTTGGTTCGTAAACAGTGGAATAACTGACACAAAGCTTGCTCATAGTCAAAGGAAACGGCAGCAACCGACGCCGTCGCCGGAGACTGAACCCCTGAGCTGGACCTACGGCAGGTTGACGCCAGAGTCTGCCACAGCATGGCTGCAGCGTCTCGCAGAGCAGGGCTCGGTGGCAGTCGATTCAGCCGCAGGCAGTGCAGAGCAGCGCTCAGCCAGTGCAGAACCGCGCGCAGCAAATGCGGAGACGCGGTCAGCATGTAAACCCACAGTCGAACAACTGAAATTCCTGCGTGCTGTCGTCGACCGCTGCCTCACAGAGGCTCAAGAATAACAGGCCGAAAGTTCCCGCAGCGAGCCTTTGCGTGCAGTCTTCCACGGGGTTCCAGGTGCAGGCAAAACCCAAACCCTCAAGTGGTTGCGTGCTTTTTTCGAAGATTTGTGCGGGTGGCAGCATCAACAAGAGTTTGTATACTTGGCACCGCAGAACACCCAGGCTGCACTGATTGCTGGCATGACGCTACACTCGTTTGCCAATATCCAGGTGAAAACCAAAACGGCCCGAGCAAAAAACACCAGCACACCGGAACAGTTCGCTAAGTACCAACGCCTACGGTGGCTGGTGGTGGATGAATCTTCGACGGTCGGGCTCGAAATATTGGCCACGCTGGAGAAACGCCTGCAGCAGTCTACCAGAGATCGGGATACGTGGAAACTTCGGCCGGGGGGAGAACGGAGGCCATTCGGAGGGCGCAACCTCATCTTGACCGGGGATTTTTGGCAGTTCCCGCCAGTCAAAGCCACAGCCATCTACCAGAACCCTTTCCAGTCAAACGCAAGCTTCCAAGTCAACGCACTGCAGCAAATATGTTGGTCGCACACCTCGCTCGCCATCCCACACCTGTTTGAACTCACCCTCGAACAGCGGTGCGAGGACGCCTGGCTCAGCCAAATTCTTCACCAGGCGAGGCATGGAAACATGTCGCAGGAAGTGTGGTCTTTCTTACACGGGTTTCCAACACTCCATGCCGGCTCGTGGTCCTTTCAAACCAATGAAGCCAGCTGCGGCCAAAAAACTTGCAACAACCTACATCTTCAACCCACCGCCCCCAACCAGTTGGAATGTGTAATTTGCCAGCAGGAAAGGGCACGTCGATGCATCGTAGGCAAAGACCCAAAAGCCGAGCATTTCCTCAACCATCCGTTTGTGCACGGGCTGAATGCCGCCAAGTACATTGCAGCCAACCTTCGTGCCAAATGGGTAGCCACCACTCGCAAACACAAGTTGCTTTGGATCATTGCGCAAGATACCCCGCTTTTTCATGTGGAGGCGACGGAACTACAGGCCCGACGCGAAAATTGGTTACAGCGCCATGACCAGTCCACCGGCGGCGTCGTAGGAATCTTACCACTTCTCCAGAATATGCCAATCCGAGTGACGCAAACTCTGTCTGACCTGAAAGCCTTCGGGCTCTTTAAACACACCCGAGGCACCCTTTGGAATTGGGCACTCCATGAGGCCGACCAAGAGGCTGTCGGAGCTGTAGCAGGCCAAGACATCGTGTTACAACGCCTTCCACGGGCGTTGTATGTCAAGGTCGAAGGTGCGAAGTGGCAACAGCACCCAGACTTGCCCGTTGGGATCGCTCGAATCGAACCCGTCACCCAGACGTGGACACTCGAAACCAACGGCAAGGCTACAGTCTCTCGACGCGGCTTTCCAATAGCCTCCGATTACGCTGGCACGGCGCATTCGTTTATGGGGGCAACCCTCGGTGCATGCACATTGGACCTTGGCACCTGGGATGCCACGACCCCCCGCGAGGCACAGCTCAGCGGGTACATGTGCCTGTCCAGGGCGCGCAAAGCCGAAGATTTGTGCATAGTCCAACCCTTCTCCCCCAACTTGTTTAGTCACGGAGAGTTAATTGGACCCCACACATTCCTAGAAGTGCATCGCGAGAAGCTGACACTGGCACAGGCCAAAATTCGATTTGACTCCGACAAGCCGAACAAACGAAGATACCGTGACATTATGTTGTTTTGTCGGGGTTGCAGCCCCCAGCCGCACCTCGAGGAAAAACTTTTGCCACTTCGAGAATTTGTCTCGGCCTGGGACCAAGAGGAATGGTTCCGAGTCTTGTCAGAAGGCATGTGTCGCTTTTGCACCCAGTGTCAAACGAAGCAGAGCAGCCCTGCAACCAAGAGGAAGTCTAAGGAGGTGAATGCATGCGCATATTGCCAGACCTTGCCAGCCGACCAGACCGGCTACTGTTCGAAGTGTGCCAAAATTCGCTTAGCGTGCAGCAAGTGTGATATCGGGAAGAAAATTAAAACAAAAAGCCTGTTAGATTTTAGCCCGGAAGAAATCACGCGAAGAAAAAAACCAAAGAACTCCGAAGAGCACGCTGCAAGAAGTGTGCTATCGCCCCAGTGGCAGCAACTGCAAAACAGGGCTTGTGCAGTAATTGCAACCGAGCCATCAGTGTGCCGCACCTAGTGAACTACAGTGCAGAATCCCAGACCGGAGTGTGCCGCACATGCATCGCAAAGCAAGCGCGGGCACTCAAGACTTGCGCTAACTGTTCTCAGCCCTTGCATGCAAATGCAACTCCAGGGACTTGGTGCACTGCCTGTGCATTTCCCCCTTGCAGTGGAGGTTGTGGGCAACCACGCCCTCAAAAGGCATCCAACCATGCCAAACAGAAATCCGACTGGTATTGTCAAAACTGCAAGGGAAAATGCGGCAACTGTGGCAGCACCTTGCCGCGTAACGCAGAGGCTGGCACATGGTGCGCCACATGTGCATTTCCGCCGTGCAGCGGAGGTTGCGGCGAGCCTCGCCCACGTGAAACAAGATACCACGCTCAGCACAAGCCGCAGTGGTTGTGTCGAGCATGCAGTGTGAGCCATGGTTACCCGCCGTGTCCAATATGCGGTCTGCAACGCCCGCAAAAAAGTGGTTACCATGTCCAAGTCATGCCGCACTGGACCTGCGAAGCCTGCACGGTAAAGTCTTGTCCCAAGTGCGGGGAAGTGCTTCGTCCAAAAGCTGAAGATGGTGCATTGTGTTTAGCGTGTGCATATCCGCCCTGTGAGAGTTGCGGTCGCCCACGGCCAAGGACGCACAGTGAATACCATGCGCAGGTCATGCCAACATGGACGTGCGCGGCGTGCCGCGGGAACAGCCTGACTGGGGTCCCAAAGAAAAGGCGTCGCAGAAGTTAGTCGCCAACGCCGTATGACATTTCTTCCATAGCCCAACATGAGACGAGCTAAGTTTCCCCGCAAAAAAGTCGTTACCGTGTCAACGTCATGCCGCGCTGGACCTGTGAAGCCTGCACAGTCAAGTCTTGTCCCAAGTGCGGGCAAATCCTTGGTCCAAAAGCTCAAGATGGTGCATGGTGTTTAGCCTGTGCATATCCGCCCTGTGAGAGTTGTGGTCGTCCACGGCCAAGGACGCGCAGTGAATACCATGCGCAGGTCCTGCCAACATGGACGTGCGAGGCGTGCAGCGGGAACAGCCATACTGGGGTCCCAAAGAAAAGGCTTCGCAGAGGTTAGTCGCCCATGCATCCGACGCCAGCCAACGGCATATGACATTGTTTCCATAGCCCAACATGAGACAAGCGAAGCTTCCCAGTGACAGAGCCGCCAGAACAGAATACCAGCCCGGCGGCGTCCTTTGGCAAACCCAAAAAAAGAAAACCACTTAGCACGCCCACCCCCGCGGAGCGTTACTCAGCGCCTGCCTGAGGCAGACCATCCATGCTCACCTGCGGCAGTTTCTTTTGGCCAACCGAAAAAAAGACGTTCGTCCAGCGCCTGCCCGGGTTTTTCCTTGCCGGCAGAAGTCCCGGAAGCCATGCACCTCGAAGAGTCCCAGCCATTTTAATTGAGCCACCGGAGAAACGGACACGGAGTTCATTCAGCACCAGCCACGCAATGTCCTAGCCAGCGTGCACCTATGATAGGAGCCCAACTTAGCTTTGCCCCCCCGCTGATATATCGCTTTCCCGCCCACTATTTTCGAGGCAGTGCCGGTGCAGCCGATCTAGCCTACGTGTCGCGAACGGCATGTTCGCACGCAGCCTGCTGTAGCTTTGGTATAACCTTACGCCAGCGAGGAACCATTGGTTCACCAAATGACAGAGATCAGCCATTTTGCGAACAGGCCGAGAGGAACCATTTTTGCTGCCACCGTATTCAGAATCCACGACAATGACCAGCCAGTTCAGAACATTTCTTTCTATAGTCCCCAA